CTCTCTCTCCTCTCTCTCTCTCTCTCTCTCTCTCTCTCTCTCTCTCTCTCTCTCTCTCTCTCTAAACTTGCCCGACGTGATAGTTACATGACTGATTTTTATTTTGTTCTTTCTATCTATATCTATATCTATCTATCTATCAAATCTATCTGTATATACTCATTTCTGATTTCCAGATTTGTGCATAAAATGCTTATTATTTTTGCGTGGTGTGTGTGTGTGTGTGTGTGTGTGTGTGTGTGTGTGTGTGTGTGTGTGTGTGTGTGTGTGTGTGTGTGTGTGTGTGTGTGTGTGTGTGTGTGTGTGTGTGTGTGTGTGTGTGTGTGTGTCCTTGTCGTGTCAGAAGTGTCGTGTGTCCTGTGTGGTATTGACAGTATACCATGTGCTCTGTCTGTCTGTCTGTCAAGCGTGTCATATGCAGTTTATACTCATTGAAGAAACTGTCTAATTATTATTATTATTATGACCATCCTTAGTATCAATAAGAAAATAATATGTTTCTCATAATTTTGTAACATTGGAACGAGGGTAATAATGTGGCCATGTAAATATATCATTTAAAAAATCTCTTGTGGTGAGGTTACGGTAATGTTGGCAGCCTTGGGTTGTGGTATATTGAGTTTCCTGTGTGTGTGTGTGTGTGTGTGCGTGCGTGTGTGTGTGTGTGTGTGTGTGCGTGCGTGCGTGTGTGTTGGTTAAAATGTATGTTATAAATCAGATTTATCGAGGATATTGTGATGTTTTATGGTTATTGCTGTTATTATTATTATTATTATTATTATTATTATTATTATTATTATTATTATTATTATTATTGTCATAGAACCAAACTTTTCTCGTTCTAGTCTAATTAATGCACAAATAGGTACAAAAATACTTACGCACAAGTAATACAAAAAGACAAGTTAAAAAATATATATAGAAATAGCCGAACAGTTGTGAAATATTATATAAATGACAAGAGTAAGAATTGTCATGTGTGGAAATGTCCTCTGCTTGGCTGTGAGTGACAAGGAAGCGAGCAGTGTAACAAGGCCGTCTGTCTGTCTGTCTGTCTGTCTGTCTTTGAGGGTGACAAGAAGGGAGTGGAGGGGTGAGTGAAGGTAGCCACACACCAAGCGAGTCATCAAGGTATAGGCATGTCACGTTTGTTTACTGAAGCTGTTTGCGTTTTGGTTAGGTTTTGGTTAGCATTGGTTTGGTTAGGTTAGGTTTTGGTTAGCATTGGTTAGGTTAGGTTAGTTTAAGTTTTGAATCCATCTGCTGGTTTAGTTAGGTTAGGTTCTTAATCCGTCAGCTGGCTAGGTTAGGTTTTGGTTAGGTTAAGTTTTTCTTGATCTGTTAATAATAAGAGACTCAGTGAAGCGATTTATTACGCATTAGTTATATGATTTGTTTTAACAAAGACGAAATAATAATAATATAATAATTTAATTTTAATTTATTTAACGAAAAAAAGCGAAACAAATAATCACGTATAATTATAGTTTTATTATCGAGATTTATTTAAGGTAACGATAAAAAAATAATTAAAAAAGATAAAAAAATAAGATCATAAATTAATTCATTAGATATTTCAGTGTTGTGATGAACTAATTGTACCTAAACGAGCCTTGTGTGTGTTGGCCTTGTAAAGTAACGGTAAAGTCTTACTGTGCAGGATGACCTCTCCTGAGAAGCACCACCACACAGTTGATTGAGATTCGCGACACTTTGGTGAGACATTCCCGTTAATATTTCTCCAGCGTCGATGATTTATTCCGAGTTAACGTGAGTGGCGAGTGTGTTGAGAGTGCGTCCTACACCCAACCAACACCTTAGAGGGAACAAAGCTGTGTATTAAGGTGTAACAGAGAGCTCTAGTGTGCATCCTCCACCCATCAACACCTTAGAATAGACAGTACTAGAGTGCGGACTTACACACCCAACACCCACGGGAAACACAAAGGAGTGTAGGTGTGCGTGAGGTGTAGTTGTCATATATAAACACACTCACGGCCCTATACACCCTTGCTCACCTGTCCACGCCGCTCACCTGTCCTTAACCGCTCACCTGTCCTTAACCGCTCACTTGTCCTTAACCGCTCACCTGTCCTTAACCGCTCACCTGTCCTTGACCGCTCACCTCTCCTTAACCGCTCACCTGTCCTTAACCGCTTACCTGTCCACGCCGCTCACCTGTCCACGTAACTGCATATATTTTTGTGTGTTTTGTTCAATGTAGCTAAAGGTTCCGTCCATACTTCCGTCTTCTCTTCCCTCCATACATATAGACAGAGGGAGTCGGGGGTATAGAGACAGACAGAGACAGTATAAAGGAAGATTAAAAATGAAAGAGACAGAGAAAGAATATTGGAAAGACATAGACAGATAGACAAACAAGTATGCTAAAAGACAGGCTGACAGACAGAAAGACAGAGAATCAGACGGACAAAGGATGTATTACGCAATTCGGTGCTTGTTTAAGTGTCTTGCCAAGGTGAGATGGGTAGTGTGTGAGGCGACAGTGTGAGAACCTTAACGCTGCCGAGATAGTGAGCCACACACACACACACACACACACACACACACACACACACACACACACACACACACACACGCGCGTGCTTGTGGGTGTGCTGTGGGAATTGATGGTTTGTTTCTGTGGGTGTCTGTGGGTGGGTGTGGGTGTCTGTGGGTGGGCGTGGGTGCCTGTGGGTGGGTGTGGGTGTCTGTGGGTGGGCGTGGGTGCCTGTGGGTGGGTGTGACGGCGCTGGTGATACCTGGCAGTGTCCACCTTTGATGACTCACCCGGGAGAATATTTCTCATTGTTCCCACACAATGCAAAGGGGGTGTTGATGGGGGGCGTTGTGTGGACGAGTGGGGGTAGGGGCCTTGATGGGGGGGAGAGAGACAGGGTAGGGGTGAGGGGAAGGAGGGCGGCGTGATGATGGAGGGGAGGTGTAGATGGCTGGGAGGGAAGGGAACGGCATTGGCTCTCGAGAGAAGAGGAGGAATACGAAGAGAGAGGAGATTCTTCTTATTGCCTAAAATCATCATCTCTCTCCTCCTTCTCCTCCCCTCTTCTTCTTTCTCCTCCCCCCACCCCCCTCCTCCCCTTCCTCTTCTCCTTCCCATCCTCTTACTCCCTCTCCTCTTTCTTCCTATCTTTCTGCTTCTTTCAAGTTCACCACTACTACCCACTACTACCACTGTCACCTACTGTCACCACTACTACCTGTCACCACTACCACTATCACCACCACTACTACCACTGTCACCACTACTATCGCCACTACTACCACTGTCACCACTACTACCACTATCACCACTACTACCACTATCACCACCACTACCACTATCACCACCACTACCACTATCACTTCTACCACCACAACAACAACTATCTACCTTTTTGCTGTTAATTAATCACGAAACACATATTTAATTCCGCCTGGAAGTCTTATTAAGTCTTGATTAATTATACTCAATAAGTTAATTATTCTTCTCACTTTTTCCGGGTTGCAGTCTCAGTGTAGGTAACTTCCGGCTCCTGATATAGCAGAATCCACTCTAATGCGGGCGTGGTGTGCGCTGATTGGTCCTTTTTTAGTTGGTTTGTGAAGTCCGCTAGTGTCGCGTTTCACACTTGTTAGAGAGAGAGAGAGAGAGAGAGAGAGAGAGAGAGAGAGAGAGAGAGAGAGAGAGATAATTAAGGACTTTGGTCAGAAACACACACACACACACATTTCTCCCATGTTAAAGAGACAGGTATGATGTCTACCTCCACCTGTCGTTTCACCTGTCCACTCATCCGCTACACCTTACCACCTGTTCTTAATTACCATATTTTTCCTTTAATTTCTCTTCTATCTTTGTTTTTGTTTTATCTATTCTAAATTATCTCATATTTGTGTTTTTGTCTTATTTTTTTATTTGTTCTCAATTATTATATTTTCCCGTTAATTCTTCCTTTATTGTCTATTGTTTTCTTATTTTACTTCTTGGTTAGGTCAGGTCAGGTTAGGTTAGGTTAGGTTAGGTTAGGTTTGTTTGAAGCACATGGGGCCTAGTAGGACTGGGGCCCATCTGACTGACCTATACAATTATGTCAGGTTGGGTTGAGTTGGGCCAGGTTTAGGTCAGGTTAGGTTAGGTTTGTTTGAAGCACATGGGGCCTAGTAGGACTGGGGCCCATCTGACCTATACAATTATGTCGACTGAGGCGAGCATCATCACCATAACACTGAGGAACAATAAAGATCTCTTGACAAAAACAGACTTTATGGCAGGTAATTACCCTCCAACAACCATTCATCGCCGGCTCTAACTACCCGTAACTACCCATAATAATTCTTATAAAGTACCGATAGTGGTTGGCGGTGAAGTGTAAAATTATTTAAGAGTTTTATTTACTGTTTTACGTTGAGAACTGATTGTGTTTTGACGTCATTTTTATTCCGCCAATAAGCAACAAGGATAATTGACTGTGTTGTGACGTCATCCTTACACCGCCAATAAACAACAAGGATAATTGATTGTGTTGTGACGTCATCCTTACACCACCAATAAACAACAAGGATAATTGACTTGAAGTTGTGACATCATCCCTACACCGCCAATAAGCAACCAGGAGCTATGTTTTAGCTGCGTTAGTGCGGGGGGGTGTCATACGCCCGGCAGCGCATGTAGTGAGATATATTTGAATGAAACTTCCTCACAAGGGTAAACTATGTCAGTCAGTCGGTCAGGTTAAGCAGACATTGGGCTAACTAACGCAATATGAAAGATGAATGATTGGTGGAACAAAATCTCACTTAACTTAACCTAACCAAACTTAACCTAAAGCAACCAAACCAAACCAAACCTAACCAAGAAAAGCCGGTTATTGATTACGTATATTGGGAAAATGTCCGGTAAGGATCTCGGCCCATTGGGAAATCGTGCGGATGTATTTTTATCCGTGGACCAAATTACACACAGTTCAGCGGCTACAAAATAATCCTTCGCTGGCAACTCCTTCCTTAGGTCGGCTGGATGGGATCGGCTCACCCACCGTTTGTTATTGTCGTCAGCTGAGCGAGCGAAGTCACGCGGGCAACAGGTACATTACGACAGTCGCCAGGTGTGTAGTGATGTTGTCTACCCCGGGGGACAGGTGTGGGCGTGTAGTGAGGTGTGTGGGTGATGGGGAAGGTGTGTTTGTGTAGGAATGTGTGGGGGGGGGGGTGTGTAGGAATGTGGCTGTGAGGAAAGGTGTGTATGGAAGTCTGGTGATTAAAAGTGTATTGGAAGGGTGTGTTGGGATGTGTAGGTGTGGGCGTGTGGTGATGGATGATGTGAGGGTGTGTTGAGGAGTGTGAGTGTGTGGGAGGGTGTGTTGGGATGTGTAATCAAGTGTAGTGAAGGAAGGTGTGTTATGTGTGTTGGAGATGTCGTGTGGTAGAGTGTGTTGAGTTTTTATGGGTGGGAGTGTGTGGGCGTGTGATGAGGGAAGGTGTGTAGGGATGTGTGAGTGTATGTTGGGGAGTGTGAGGGTGTTTGGAAGAGTATGAGTGTGTACAGGTGTTTATGAGGGAGTATGAGAGAGTATAAGGGAAGTATGAGGTAGTGTGATGTATGAGTGTATGATTGTATAACCTGTATATTGTATGTATTTTATTATTTCCAGTTTACTGTCTTAAGTGTCTTGTGTACTATTCTTACCGAGATAATAACGTGTTTATATATATTTATATCCGTGTTGTGATATCGTGTTAAAGGTCCTAATTACCTGTTAGTTAACGTCTTATAGTGAGTGATGTAATTGTGAATTATATTTTTTTGTGTAAGGTTAGATTAGGTTAGGATATGTTTGGTTACATTAGGTTAAGTTACCATCTTCAGGACTCCATTACAGCCTCTTGTATCTATGTTACAGTTCGGTTCCATCCGCTACAGTTAATTAGACGGTTATGTAAAGTAGTTATGTATTACAGTGTGTGTGAACTGCAGCGTGATGGTCTCTCCTTGTGATTAGTTATGGTTGGGGGGTCGTACTCGAGTGCTCAAGTCGTCCTTCAGTTAGATTTTAGGTTAGATGTGTTTAGGTTAAGATGGACTGGGTTAGGTTAGGTTTGGATTGGTTGGGTTTGGTTAGGTTAGATTAGGTGTTTGTAGCTTGAGTTGGGTTTGGTTAGGTTAGGTTAAAAGAGAAAAGGAAGTATAGAAAGCACGAGTGAGAGAAAGTTCAAGAATAAATACAGGGCACATTAGAGAGAGAGAGAGAGAGAGAGAGAGGGAGAGAGAGAGAGAGAGGGAGAGAGAGAGAGAGAGAGTGTGAGAGAGAGAGAGCGAGACAGAGTGAGTACACAATAGATATTTTGACCACGTAAGATAAAGAGAGAAAGTACAAAATAAAAATGTGAAAATATAATAGTAAAGAGAAAGTAGAGAGAAGAGAAAGCTCAAAGAAAGCACAAGGTAAAAAAAACAGTCATTCATGATATTACAGGAACCTACATCGTGTGTGTGTGTGTGCGTGTGTGTGTGTGTGTTTTCAAATGGACCCCAGCTGTAACCTAACCCAACCTAACCATTAAGAGATTGAAACTAGAATAATTAGGTTAGATTAGATTAGGTAAGGTTAGGTTATGTTAGGTCAGATTAGGGTAGTTTGGGGATCAGCTGGTTCAGGGCCCCATTAGGACTCAGGATCTTAGCGGGACCCAAAAGAGATGCATAGAAACAGTGAATAAGAAGACAGATAAAAGACGGTAAATAAAAGAATAGGAGGAATCATGAGAGTGAGAGACCCAAGGAAGACGTGGCAGGAAGTAGTGAGGTAAGGGAGGATGTGAGAGAGAGAGAGAGAGAGAGAGAGAGAGAGAGAGAGAGAGAGAGAGAGGCAACAAGTGTCCTTCACCCCTGAGAGTCCCATTATTTACTCGTCATTATCCTCCGCCCCACCAGTATCATCCCCTGCTGTATTCCCTTGTTTATTATGGGCCGCCTCTTCCTCCTTCGTTGGCTGGAGTCAATTTACAGTGATACCTAGACTATTCTGTTTGTATTATTATTATTATTATTATTATTATTATTATTATTATTATTTTGTTACTATTATATAAAAGCTTTATTTCTGACCTTAAAATGTAATTATCGTCTTTACAATTACTTAAGAGTATCGTAATTGATCACTAACATTCTTCACCGCCCAGAATACTTGAGTAGCTGGTGTTGGAAGTTTCTTGGTTGGTGGTGGTGGTAGAGGGTGGTGGTGGTGGTAGAGGAGGAACGCACTATCTTTCACTCAACTAACTCACCAAATCTTCTTGACTCACTTTACAGGTTAAAAGAGCTTAATGGCGCCAACAGTTGCATACCTCTTGCGCCCTTGCTGAGCCTAAGAGCAACAAGAGGGCAGGTAACCAGGACTCATTAGATATATCGGCTTCGACCCTCCACCTGTGTCCCCCAGATGGTCAGGGTCAAGCCTAAGTCTGACCAGCTGCAACAACACCTCCCGCGGGTTGATCAAATTCGTGACGTCATGTGTTGTGTTGCAGGTGTTTGAAAATTAACAAGACCAGGAAAGAAAATAAAGTGTTTCGTTGTGTAACTTGGTGGTGTTGAAGCGCACCATCACTCGTGGCTACAGTGAACGTGGTGTGTTGAAGTGATTTTGATTTTGGGGAGAAATTTGTTGTCGTTATCGGGTGCAGTCGGTAGGCGTCAAGATGGTGTTGTTGTGGACCCAGCACGATGGGGAGCGCATCGAACCTCAGCCGACGGATGAAATTGTCCAGGAACACCGCAAGGAGGACAAGGAGAACCTCCATCACCTCGCTAATAAGCAGAATCTCAAGGGTGATGTGTCGACCTCCAAGGGTGAATCCAGCACCTCTCCTGTCCCGACCATCAGAGTGGACGACATGAGTGGTGTGACCTCGCCCTCAGAGAAGCATGTGGTCACCCTCCGTCAGGTGTCGGAGATCATGGACAGGAAGAAGAGCAGCGCCTATATCGCCTCCTCGGTGTCTCCCTCCACCTCTTCCCCCTTCTCCGCCTCTCCCTCACCTCCTCCGTCCTCCTGCGCCACCACCATCACGGACACCATAGAAGAGGAGGTGTCGGTGGAGACGATCGAGACGGCGCCGCTCGAGAGTGCCTCCCGCGTGGCCGTCAACAAGACCGCTACCCTGGGCGCAGTAGTACAGCTGGAGGAAGAGGAGGAGGAAGGAGAAGGCAAGAAGAAGAAGAGCAACAAGAGGAAGTTCTACACCCTCCCGAGGAACTGGAAGAGCAAGGCAGCAGACTTCATCCTGACCAAAGGTAGAGTGAACTTGACTGTTCCAGGTGGTGGTAAAATGGTACACGCATCTCTTAATATAGTCTAGGAACTGTCCCCAATGTTAAGGCACCTCCCCCCCCCCCTTCCATATAAAAATATCCCGTATTATTTTAGGTATTTTCCGTATTTTAGGAAAAGTCCCGTATTTCAGTGGCATTAACGTGTTTTAGGTGAGATACGGTCTTCAGGTGATGCAATGCACCTGTGTTATAAAGGAACCCCAGTCATCGTATTGAAGGGATTAAGAACTTCCATGATACAAACACATACGTAAAAGAACCTCCCGTATTTAAAGGAACATCCCGTATTTAAAAGAACATCCCGTATTTAAAAGAACATCCCGTATTTAAAGGGACCTCCCGTATTTAAAGGAACATCCCGTATTTAAAGGGACCTCCCGTATTTAAAGGGACATCCCGTATTTAAAGGGACATCCCGTATTTAAAGGGACATCCCGTATTTAAAGGAACATCCCGTATTTAAAGGAACATCCCGTATTTAAAGGGACATCCCGTATTTACAGGAACCTCCCGTATTTAAAGGGACCTCCCGTATTTAAAGGGACCTCCCGTATTTAAAAGAATATCCCGTATTTAAAGGACTCCCCAACACCACCGTCCCCAATACCTTGACGAGTGTCCTAGAAATTAAAGATTACCTGTGCCAATTAGAATTAATTTTAGGTATAGACAAAAGGGATGCTGTTAGTGTGTGTGTGTGTGTGTGTGTGTGTGTGTGTGTGTGTGTGTGTGTGGTTCCAGGAAAATCTTGGTAAATTTAGAGTGTCTTCAATGCTCTATACACCTCGTTCAAGAGTGTGTTAAAAAGCTCTCAATTCCGGGCTAAGAGTGTGTTAAAAGCTCTAAAATCCCGGTTGAGTGTGTTGGTTGCTCCCAGTTGCGATGGGGGGTTGCGTTAGAGTGCGTGGGGTGTGTGTGTGTGTGTGTGTGTGCGGTCACTGACACAAGACTTACAACACGACAAACATTGACCGCTAGAGCTTCATGAAGTGATGGTACAGTTTCTCCATTCTATAAGACCGGGAGGTGACTGTCTGATTCTCTGTTTATCTGTCTGTCTGTCCGTCTGTCTGTCTTGTCTTAGGAGAGTTTGAGTGTCTGTCTGTGTCTTTCAAACGTTCGACTGTTTATATGTCTAATAATTCACCTGTCATGTTTGAAAGAGTTTGCCTGACTGACTAGCTGACTGACTGACTGACTGACTGACTCATTGATTTACTGACTGACTGATTTCATGACTGACTGACTGACTCCAGTTTTCCCCTCCCGGTGATTGATTCCTATACCGTCATCCATTGACCTCCTTCCCCCTCTCCCATCTCCCTCCCCCCCATCTCCCCTTCCCCTGGCTGATACATGACGAAGCTGGACCCAAATTCTCAAAGGTTCACACGATGAATTTTTGTCTCGTAACTGGAGGTGTCAGAACGCATTTAATTGGCCCACATAAACATTAAGCACAAGAATAAGAATATCCATAATGGCTTCAGAATTACACCAAGACTCTACCTTCCTTAAAGAAATTCACTTAACTGGCCCAGATATGAGAAAAAATAAACGTTAGATTATTTAAGACTCCATGATCGTATTTTTAACATTAAGGATTAAAATTCTCGTAAGGGGGAAAAAAATATTACGATTATTTGAGAACTGTTAAAGGGTACAACAATCTCACCTTCTAGTTACGTATTTTTTTTTACATTGCAAAATATATTACAGGATGGGATCAAGGCTTTTGTCTTTGTTCTCAGCATTGCGGTGTGTACAGAGGTGACATAACACTTGCAACATTACGTGCAACATGATTTAATTCAGCCCTTAGGTGAGGTAGGAGGTGGAGGTGAGGGGTGTGGAGGTGGTAGGTGGAGGTGAGGGGGGTGGTAGGTGTAGGTTCGGTAGGTGGTAGGTGGAGGTGTGGTAGGTGGTGGGTGTAGGTGAGGGGTGTAGGTGAGGTAGGTGGTGGGTGGAGGTGAGGTAGGTGGAGGTGAGGTAGATGGTGGTTGTAAGTGAGGGGTGTAGGTGGTGGGTGTAGGTGTGGTAGGTGGTGGGGGGATGGGTGTGGGAGGTTGTAGGTGTAGGTGAGGTAGGTGGGAGGTGTGAGGTGAGGTGGTGGGTGTAAGTGGAGGGGTGTGTAGGTGGAGGTAGGTGGAGGTGGAGGGATGGTGGGTGGGGTGGAGGGGTGTAGGGGTGGGTGAGGTGAGGTAGGTGTAGGTGAGGTAGGTGGGAGGTGAGGTAGGTGGGTGGGTAAGGGAGGGGGTGTAGGTGAGGTAGGTGGAGGGAGGTAGGTGGTGGGGGTGGGGTGAGGGGTGTAGGTGAGGTAGGTGGAGGTGAGGTAGGTGTAGGTGAGGTAGGTGGAGGTGAGGTAGATGCAGGGTGGGTGAGGGGGTGTAGGTGAGGTAGGTGTAGGTGAGGTGGGTGGTGGGTGTAGGTGAGGTAGTGTAGGTGAGGTAGGTGGGGTGTAGTTGAGGGGTGTAGGTGAGGTAGTGGATGAGGTGGTGGGGTGTGGGGTGAGGGGTGTAGGGAGAGGGGTAGGTGGAGGTGAGGGTAGGTGGTGGGTGTAAGTGAGGGGAAAGAGGTAGGTGTAGGTGAGGTAGGTGGGAGGTGATGTAGGTGGTGGGGTAGGTGAGGGGAGAGGAGGTAGATGGTGGGTGTAGGTGAGGGGGTGTAGGTGAGGTAGGTGGAGGTGAGGTAGATGGTGGGGTGTAGGTGGGAGGGGTACGTGGAGGTGGGAGGTAGGTGTAGGTGGAGGTAGGTGGGAGGTGAGGTAGGTGGTGGGGGTAAGTGAGGGGTGTAGGTGAGGTAGGTGGTGGGTGTAGGGTGGAGGGGGTGTGGGTGAGGTAGGTGGTGGGTGTAGGTGGAGGTAGGTGGTGGGTGTAGGTGAGGGGTGTAGGTGAGGTAGGTGGAGGTGAGGTAGGATGGCGGTGTAAGTGAGGGGTAGGTGAGGCAGGTGGAGGTGCAGGTGGAGGTGGAGGCAGTGTGTAGGTGGAGGTGAGGGTGGTGGGTGCAGGTGAGGGGTAGGTGAGGGGTGGAGGTGTGAGGTAGGAGGTGGAGGTGAGGGGTGGTAGGTGTAGGTTCGGTAGGTGGTAGGTGGAGGTGTGGTAGGTGGTGGGTGTAGGTGAGGGGTGTAGGTGAGGTAGGTGGTGGGTGGAGGTGAGGTAGGTGGAGGTGAGGTAGATGGTGGTTGTAAGTGAGGGGTGTAGGTGGTGGGTGTAGGTGTGGTAGGTGGTGGGTGTAGGTGGTAGGTTTGATTGCTTTAATTTTGGAGAGCTTTGTGTGTGTGTGTGTGTCAGGGTAGGTTAGATTATCTAAGGTTAGATATGTTTAGGATAGGTTATGGGTAGGTCGAGATGGGTAGGCCGAGGTGGGCAGGCCAGAAACTTGGCTCTTCTCTTAATGTTTGGCTTAAGGGATTTGGTTAGGGGTTCAAAGTTGGCACAGTACAGGTGTGTGTGTGTGTGTGTGTGTGCCGAAGACGTTCATAATGGGTCTATGGGCCTAAAACTACAGCCATGTTACCTTACACCTTGAAAGTTGATTTGGCTCAGGTGTTTTAGGCTTCTCTTGTACACACACACACACACACACACACTCCAAAAACAGTATCATGCCGGTTTTGTTTCCCTGAATTGGATCATTAGATTGAGGCCTATTAAGACTGGGGCCCAGGTGAGGATGTCGACGAGGTTGGGGTCTGCTATCTGGTAGCTTAAACTGAGGTCTTTTAGGACTTGGACTTGCTAGGACTGGGGCTAGCTATAACTGGGGCTAGCTATAACTGGGGCTTGCTAGGACTGGGGCTAGCTATAACTGGGGCTTGCTAGGACTGGGGCCCATCGTCTATTAGCTTCAAATCCTAATGATTATGATGGCTCAGCTAAGGTGGGGTCTATTAGGACTGGGACCTCTTAGGACAGGGGGCCCATATGTCCAGTGGCGTCTAGCTGGAGGCAGGAGAGGATGTAAACAGTGTTGGGGTCCGCCATCTGTCGGGCGAGACGGAAACTAAGACAAGTAGCAGCTGTATCCGGTCTACCTCTTCCACATTTCTTCCTTCCCTGTCCCTCCCACACCCTCCCATACCCCCCACCCTATGTCCTTCCCTTCATCCTATACCCCGTCCCTTCCTCCCTCCCACCGTCCCTCCCACATATCTTCCCTCCTATACACCCTCCCACTGACACACCCTCCCAGCGCCCACTTACTCTCCCACACCACCCACATACCCGCCCACCTTTTCCTACACATCCACCCTCCCACCCAGGCTTGTGTTACCCTAAATGCTGTGGTGTATTCTGTGTTTACAGTGTAGTCTCTCTCTCTCTCTCTCGGAACACAATCAATACCTCGAACTAGCTACTCCTCGAACTAGTTACTCCTCGAACTAGTTACTCCTCGAGCTAGTTACTCCTCGAACTAGTTACACCTCGAGCTAGTTACTCCTCGAGCTAGTTACACCTCGAGCTAGTTACTCCTCGAACTAGTTACACCTCGAGCTAGTTACTCCTCGAGCTAGTTACACCTCGAGCTAGTTACTCCTCGAGCTAGTTACTCCTCGAGCTAGTTACTCCTCGAGCTAGTTACTCCTCGAGCTAGTTACTCCTCGAACTAGCTACTCCTCGAACTGGTAACGTATCACATTAACTGCAAAATGATGGCCACTGCCCTGTTGGCCCAGATCACTTCAGTGCCGTTGTGAAGTGACACTCAAGAGAGGAACGGATTTCTATCTATCTATCTATCTATCTGTCTGTCTGTCTGTCTGTCTGTCTGTCTGCTTCATGTCATTCCCCAGGTCTTAGTTCACACAACAGCCGACTTTTATAACAACAAAAGACCGAGTGTAGTCGACTGGCTGTTGTTAACTTTTGTTTAATCACCAACACTAATGAGAGAATTTGACCTGACCCGAAAATAATGTTGTCTTGGGTTTTTATTAATTTGGTTTTTAGTTGAGCTTTTTTGACTTTTTTTTTACTTTTTTTTACTTTTGTTTAAACTTTTTCGGACTTTTGATTTGTTTAACTAT